CACCACCAATGTTCCCAGTATCCTTCCCGCCACTCCCATCCCATCCCCCTCCTATTTCTGGTAGGCACATTCCCTTTTTCTCTCTCCTTTGGGTGTTATAGTTTGCAATACAAGTATTAAGTAACCATCATATTAGGTCTCTAGTCTACTTTCAGCATGCATCTCCCATCCTGAGCAAGCCCTCCAAGCATCATTTGCTTGGTGGTCCCTTCTCATCTGCCTTTCCCCCTTGCATGTGAGGCCAGCTTCCAAACCATAGAGGAATTCTCCTGGTCCTTCTCTCTACTATCCTTGGGTATTAGTCTCCCCATTATATTGCTTTATATTCCACAAATGAGTCCATTCATTCTATGTCTGTCCCTCTCTTTCTGACTCATTTCACTTAACATGATACTCTCCATGTCGATCCACTTATATGAAAATTTTATGACTTCATCTTTTCTAACAGTTGCATAGTATAACACTGTGTAGATGTACCAGAGTTTCCTTAACCAGTCATCTGTTCTCTGGCACTTGGTTTTTTCCAGGTTCTGGCTATTGTAAATAGTGCTGCAATAAACATACAATGCTGATATCTTTTCTACTGTACTTTTTTGCATCTCTGGGATATATTCCCAGAAGTGGTATTCCTGGGTCAAATGGGAGCTCAATTTCTAATTTTTCGAGAAACGTCCATATTGTTTTCCAAAAGGACTGAACAAGCCGGCATTGCCACTAGCAGTGAAGGAGAGTTCACTTCTCCCCACATCCATGCCAACACCAGTTGCTTTTGTTTTTTTGGATGTATGCCAGTATCTATGAGGTGAGATGATATCTCATTGTTGTTTTGATCTGCATCTCCCTGATGATTAGTGATGAAGAGCATTTTTTCATATGCCTTTTGGCCATTTGAATTTCTTCTTTGAGAAAGTTTCTGTTCATTTCATCTCCCCATTTTCTGATGGGATTGGATATTTTCTTCTTGTAGAGTTCAACCAGTGCCTTGTATATCCTTGATATTAAACCCTCATCAGATGGGATTGGGTAACTATCCTTTCCCATTCTATAGACTGTCTCCGTATTCTGTTTTTTTTTTAATTTTATTATTTATTTTTTTGCTTTTTGGATCACACCCAGCGATGCACAGGGGTTACTCCTGGTTCATGCACTCAGGACTTACTCCTGGCCAGGGGACCATATGGGATGTTGGGAATCGAACCCAGGTTGGGCTGCAGGTAAAGCAAATGCCCTACCTGCTGTGCTATCACTCCAGCCCCGTCTGGTCACTATTTCTTTTGATGTACAGAAGCTTCTTAGTTTAAAACAGTCCCATTTGTTTATCTGTTTCTACTTGCTTGGTCGGGAGAGTCCACTGACTCTTTACCTTTTTATCCTATCCCCTCTATCTGAATGGGAGTGGACTGAGACAGAGGCACTTGCAGGCCTAATAATGTTTTCAGTAACCTGTGTCATCAGAGTAGCCAGGTTACTGAAAAATAGCAGAGCAAAATATGGTATTGTTGTTTGTCTGCTACAGTACAGGTGTACCAGATGCTTGAGAAGATAATTCAAGTCACTTAGAATACTGTAGCTTTTGACACCTGATAATGTTGAATGGAAGCCTACAAGCACATATGACATACTAGCTTGAGAGATGTAATATGGATAATATGATATGATGGAGAACTGAACTAATTATTCATGCCTGAGTGGACTCTAGTAATGTGCCAGTATATTTTAACTCATATTTAAATTATATGTACTACCATACCACAATGTGGTGTGACACTAAGCTTGATAAGTTTTCAGCATTTGGAGGCTATAGAGATAGTAAAGCAGGTAGGGCGTTTGTCTTGCATGCAGCTGACCAGGTTTAATCCCTAGCACCCCGAATGGTTTCCTGAGCCCTGCCAGTAGAGATCCATGAGCACAAGGCCAGGAGTAAGCCGGAACACTGGCAGATGTGGACCCTAAACAAAGATTCCACTATATCACATTAACAAGTCTCATGATAAAACTGATACTGATAATCAAGTACACAATAGTTCCTCCACTAACCCAGTTTGGTCTCCCTTTTTTCATGTTCCCAGTTTCATGGTTAAATACACCTGAAAATATCACATTTTGAGAGAAAAAGAAATAACAGTCACATAACTTTCATTACAAAATATTACTGTTCTATTTATATTAGAAGTAGTGCTATTAACCTCTTTCTGTTCATTATTTATAAATTAAACTTTATCCTGGATACACATTATAAGAAACAACAGTTTATATAAGGTTCAGAAGTCTCTTTGGTTTCATGCATCCACTGTGGAGATCTTAGAACATTTCCCTTATAGACAATGCAGGGAGAAAAACTGTTGTTATTGGGAAACTAAATTAAAGCCCCTCAGGACATACCCTGATGGAAAACTGACTAGTCTGAAGAAAACTGGATTAACAAACCATCAGCTAAAAACTACCTAACTTAAAGTGAATAAGTTCTGCAGAGTTTATTATAACCAGCAGATCATGGAAGACAAGAGTAATTAAATTAGTATGAAAATATGTTAATAGTTTTATGGAACAGATTAGTTTTTTTTTAAATACAGTTGTTTCTTTAAATCTATGTCTAACATACAAATGTTAGGTATAATCATAATGGTACTACTTGAAAAACAAATGCCATGGATCAGACAGTGAATGGCTTTCAAATCTTAGACCATGGTGACTTCCATTTTAAGTCCCATGGTGCCACCATACTAAGAGGAATTTCAAATTTGGTTACATAAAGAGGCCATAAGAGATAAGAGGTGGCACTCAGGGACTTGACAGGATTAAGCTTTGAGAACAATCAGATATGGATCATAAACTAAAAAAACAAAAACAAAACCACCTTGAAGTGTCTCCATGGAGAAAATCTGGAGTCCACTATGCTCTTTCTAATTGCCTGACCATGAACAGTATTTGCATGATGCATGTCACTATTTTCATTTGAGGAGAGAAGGGCGAGCCATAGCCTGCAGTGCTTAGGGCTTATTCCTGGCTCTGCACTAAGGCAGGGTCAGGTGGATTATATGGGGTGCCAGGGATTGAATTCACGTCAGCCATGAATTCGAACAAACAGTACTTTTGTACAAACAGTACTTAAGTAATTTACAACACAGAGAAAGAAGTAAATATGAATGCAAAGAATATAGGGCAGAATGTGATAACCACTACACAGAAAATAAACTAATGGCCTTGGAACATTAAGAAATAATTCTAGGGGCCCAAAAGCAGAATACCTGCATGAGGCTGGTAAGACTCCAGGGTCAGTAACTCGCACTGCCCACATGCATGAGTGAGATCTCAGTGACTTTGTAGGACCCCCAAAGCCACAGGTAAACTTTCAATACTAAGTACACTGTAACCAGATTTGTGTAAACATCACAATCAAGTGTGCAACCTTGGTGAATACTGCAACTGAAAGTGCACTATACTAACTGTACAAAGCAAGCAACCTATGATCCCAGTCAACATAAAATCAGTGACAACAACAAAGGGAAGGGAGAGGGGTGAGGGGAGTTTTTAATTAAAAAAAAAGTCCAGCTGAGGAATGGAGCAGCAGGGGGTAAAAAATGGGGAAACTTCACAAAAAGAATCTCTAAACCTAAAAGAATCCTAAAAAAAAACAACAGCAGCAACAATGACGAAAATGGAAAGGGTGGAACCACAAAATGGCAAAGTGGCGTACCATTTAAATTCCCTTTAAAGATAAAAATTTAGGCCAGAGAGATGGCTCAAAAGGCTGGACCACATGCTCTGCCTCTAACCCCATGCTAGAGGAGTGACAACCCAAATGCCATCAGGTATGTCCCCAAATTTTTTATTTTTTAAAGTTTTTAAGTTTAAAATTCCCACACCCATAATCTTTTTTTTAAATTTAAACCTATTATTTTTTTTAAGATAAAAATTTGGGCTGAAGAGATAGTATAGCAGAATAGTAATGTTCTTGCTTTCCAAGTGGCCAAGCAGGTTCAATACCTGGCCCTCCATATAAATTTCCCCTGTGGCCACCAGGAGTGATCCCTTAGAAAATAATCAGCAATAACCCCTGAGCACAGCAGCCAGATGTGACCCAAAAACAAAACAAAAAGACAAAAATTTAACATTTTAAGTAATCTCTAAAGTAAGTTCGATTCCTCCGCCCCTCTCGGAGAGCCCGGCAAGCTACCGAGAGGATCTCGCCCGCATGGCAGAGCCTGGCAAGCTCTCCATGACGTATTCGATATGCCAAACACAGTAACAACAAAGTCTCCAATGGAGACGTTACTGGGCCCGCTCGAGCAAATCGAAGTAATCTCTAAGACTTTAATAATACCAAGCTATTTGAAGGAAACTGTAGGAAACAAAATTCTAAAGAAAAAAAAAAAAACAGTATGGAGGTAAAAAAGCTTTCATCACATCAAATTATTAAATTTTTTGCTATTCAATCTTACATAGGGCTATTAACTTTGACTAAGAAATGAAAGCTACTTATCAGTTTTTACTTTGATGTACGAGCCAAAGCAAAAACCAGTACTTTGCTTACTCACAGTTCCAGACCCAATATCAGCTTAATGACAGCAATTTTCTATGTTCAGCATTCTTTGGCATGCTAGGGGTGATTTACAGAGAGGCATTTGTCTTGAAACAAAATGAAAAGGGCCAGCTACTAATGACAGTCATAAAAGCTGAGTAAAATCATACACTGTTTTAATTGCTGAAATTTACCCCCCAACTTCCCTGATAAGAATACAAGGATTATGTCTGTAAGTACCAGAACGATTCAGGAAATAAATACTCCCAAGCCAAAGCATTCCACTCTCTAAACTGCTCCATACAAGAGCCTGAAAGTAGTCTCTCTGATCTGCCTATTCAACAATGACTAACTTCAATCTGTTTAAGAAAACTCTCCTTCAACCTGGAATCCCTCCTAATAAGCCAGATTTCCTCATAAAAATTTTGTGGTATGTAATACTTAAAAACCCTGAAACATTACAATTTGTTTTCCTCACCTCATAAAACTTTTTTAAGGAGCCCACCAGGCAGAGTTTCAGGCTATCCACAATCTCCTGATGAGGCATCTGGAATACCACTCGTGAATACCATTTTGTGAGGGTGCTGGAGTAAAGTTGGTAAAGAGAAGAGAGAGAAGAGATGAAAACACACAGAGAAAGGCAAATAAACTAAATGTCAATGCTTATAGGCTTTTCCATATACCAGTCAACAAGAACCTAGTAAATGTATATATTGGTATGTATAAGACAACATATGGTAACACAGGAAAAGCCATAGATCATAGAAATATAGCCATGATTGCATCTACTACAAAAATTCTAATTGAAGAAACAAAAAAAAATTCAACTGAGGAGGCAGAGTGATAGCACAGGAGGCAGAGTGTTTGCATGTGGTAAATGCACATGCAATTTGGTCCCTCAAGCACCACCAGCAGTGATTCCCTGACTGCAGAGCCAGGAGTAAGTCCTGAATATTTTTGGGTGTGACCTCCCAAACTAAAACAAAAACAAACAAAAAATACCTTTTCAATTGAGGGGGTTGGGGAGATAGTATAGTGGGCAAGGACACTTATCTTGCATGTGACTGACCTGGGTTTGATCCATACTCCCCATGTAGTTCCAGAGCCCTGAAGAAGCTCTGAGTACTACCAGATGTGACACACACACACACACACACACACACACACACACACACACACACACACACACACACTTTCAATTGAAAAATACTTAGCCATATTTGTTTTCCATAGAGGACAAATAAATAAAACTAGTTAAATAGATAAAACTAGATATTTATGAAAGTTTTATCTATTTCATAAATAAGATTTGAAATACAATTAATTCCAAGCATAAATTTCAAAAAGGAGTAAGCTCCAAGCTTAGCAGGGTATTGCCCAAAAACAAAAACAAAATTATACAACATAGGGGCATAATATAAGGTGAAGAACAGTATGCATAATAATATACTATTTCTATGTGGTGTGTAGGGACACCAAACTTTTAAAGGCAATAGTTAATAAAAGATGAACCTTGTGGAATTTCAGTTTCTAAATTTCTGTTGACATTTAGATGAGCATATACTATTTTTAAATCAGAACCAAAATAAACACCTTTATTTCTGGGGTGATTACGGGCTGGGTGATTATGGGCTGGAGCGATAGCACAGCAGGTAGGGCGTTTGCCTTGCAAGTGGGCACTCCAGTTCGATTCCTCCATCCCTCTCTGAGAGCGCAGCAAGCTACCGAAGTATTCCGCCTGCACGGCAGAGCCTGGCAAGCTACCCATGACGTATTCGATATGCCAAAAACAGTAACAACAAGTCTCACAATGGAGATGTTACTGGTGCCCGCTCGAACAAATGGATGAACAACAGGACAGTGCTACAGTGCTATTTCTGGGGAAAAGAATCGTTACTAACAAAACAAACCCCATTTTATTTTTTGAGCAACACTCAGCTCTGCTCAGGGCTTACTCCAGGCTCTGTGCTCTGGGATCACTCCTGGAGGGCTTCAGAGGTCTATACTGAGTGCTGGGGATCAAACGCGGGTTGACCATGTACAAGGCAAGCACCCAATCTGCTGCCATACTATCTCTGCAGTCCACAAGCCCCATTTTGAGGGAGATTAAACTGCAACAAGAACAAATTTTCATGTGACAAGCTTGTCTAAAAAGACACTTAGAGGTACTTATGTAAAAATGTATCACAGAAAGATAAAATGACATACTATAATTCATAAAACATCTTTAATATGAAATAACTGCAGCTTATTTACTGAATTTTTAGTAAGATCAGGCATCAAAATGAGATAAACAAACAAAACGAAACTGTAGTAATACTTACAGATTAATACTTGCAACAAAGCCAACCACAGACCGCATGCCTCGGCTGGGGTCATGGTAAACATCCATCCCAATCACCATTAATTGTTTCTGGATTTAAAAATAAAAAACAAGGTAAAAATTCAAGAAATTCATCTCATCTCTCCAACTTTTTAATCTGATTCTAAAGCAGTACAAGAAAATACATTCAAGGAAAGCAAGAGAAATATTACAAATACCATGAATAAGATACCTAGACCAGGAATTTACCAACTTTTCTGAAAAGGACTGAAAGTAATTATCTTGGGCTTTGGGGTTTTTGTTCTTTGGCATTTAGGCCACACCCAATGATGCTTAGGGGTTACTCCTAGCTCTGCACTCAGGAATTACTCCTGGTGGTGTTCAAGGGACCATGTGGGATACTGAGGACTGAACTCAGGTCAGCCATGTGCAAGGCAAATACCCAACCTGTATTACTGTTCTGGCTCTATCCTGGGCTTTGTGAGCCATAGAATCTCTTTATAAAGTATTTAATTCACCATTATAATCATGAATATTGTATAAAGAAGTGTAGATATAATTTTAAATTTATATATACATTACATATATTTAAGTATAAAAATATATACATATTAATACCTGCATTAAGGATACTAAAACTTGAATTTCACTTACTTTTCACATCTAGAAGCATTAGTTTTGCTTTCATTTTTTAAATCACAAAAAACGTCTAGTGTCCAGGGCCTGAGCAATAGTACAGCAGGTCAGGCGGATGCCTTGCATGCAGCCAACAGTTTGATCCATGGTACTCCCTCTGGTCCCATAAGCCCACTAGTAGTGATCCCAGAGCACAGAGCTAGGAGTAAATTCTGAGCACAGCCAGTTGTGCTCCCCCCAAAATATTTTTTTTAAGAATGAAAAAGTTTAGAGTCTAGAGATAGTACAGCAGGCATTGTGCTTGCCTTGCATGCAATTGGTTCAATCACCAGAACCCCATGATTCCCTCAAGTCCTGCCAGGGGTGATCCCTGAGTGCAGAGACAGGAGTAAGCCCCAAGAACAGCCAGATAAGGCCCCCAAACAAGCAGAAAGTCTAAAAAATAAAAGTATTTCTCTGTTTAGGTCAGAGCGATATTATAACTAGGGTAGGGCAATTGCATAAAGCCAACCTAGTTTTGATAACCAGCACCTTATACGGCCTCCTGAGCCCCACCATTAGTGATCCATTGGCACAGAGACAGAAGTAAGCCCTGAGCACAAACAAGTGTGACCAAAGACAAAAAAAAAACTTTTAAAATATTTCTCAGTTCATATACTGTACAAAGACAGTATTTGTACAAAGACAGGTTTCCAATGGATGATCCTTACAATACTGCCCAGGCACGAAAATTTCAGGCTGGTCCGAGGAAAAATTATTACCATTAACACAGTTGTGGTTTTTTTTGTTTGTTTGGGTTTTTTTTTTCCTTTTGGGTCACACCTGGCGATGCACAGGGGTTACTCCTGTCTCATGCACTCAGGAATTACTCCTGGTGGTGCTCAGGGGTCCATATGGGATTCTGGGAATCGAACCCTGGTTGGCTGCATGCAAGGCAAACGCCCTACCCGCTGTACTATCACTCCAGCCCCTAACATAGTTGTTTTTAACTGCTGGTTTATTAGCCAGTGTTGATGGTGTGAAAAACTTTAAATCACTGACTTAAGGGCCAGAGAGAGTAAAGCAGTAGAGTGCTTGCCCTGTATGTGAGCATTAAGAAAGAGAGATATGAGGAAAAACAGAAAATCATCTTAGGCAGGATTCTCTGAAGAGCTAAACTGAATGATATATCTTAGCATTACTCACCAGGGGAATATCTACTCCCCAGAGCTCACCACCCAATTTACAGTTAATCTGAAGTAAAATTTTCTGGGCCACACTCCTAAGCCTGGCAGGCTGACTAATGGTTCTGACGTTGATGACCTATAGTGAAGGGAACAAAAGGGAGGGGGAAAATGAATACTATTAACTTTCAGAAAATGCCAATAATTCTCACATAAATGCATTTAAGACATCCCAGTTACCAGACAATATACATTCTGCATTAATAACTTTACCTGTAGAGTTTCTAGGCATGTATCCATCTGTGCGCGCTCTCTCTCTCTCTCTCTCTCTCTCACACACACACACACACACACACACCCCAAACAAAAGAACAACAAAAAAATTTCTAAAGGATCTCACACAGAAGAAAAATTTATTACCACAGGAAAATACCTTTCAGAATAAAGCATATACTCTCAGAAATGAAGAATATCTACTAATCACTAGATAAACTCATGTAACACATTCTAACAGATACTTTATTTTTCTAAATACAGGTCCATCTTCCCAAGTCCCACTCACCTGAGAAGGCACAGGACTCTGCACACAGCACAGCTTTTTAATGGCCCCATAGAGATCGTCACGTGTGCCCATGATGATACAAACAACCATCTGTATCTTCCCCTTGAGGAGATAAAGTATACATAAATCAGGCGCTGAAACTGTCAGGGGGACTATAAAGGGGTTTATCTGGGCAGTATAGAGTCTTCAAGGCCAGAGACCTTTAAGGTAGACTGGGACTGAAACAATGACATTGCAACAAAGAAAAAGATTGTGAACCTGAACCTTGGTTCAGTGATTCTTTGTATATATGCAGAATATATTACCATGAATTATCCAGAACAGATTCTAATTATCTCATTTATTTGTGACTTAATTTGTGACTTGGGCTGGAGCAATAGCACAGCGGTAGGGCGTTTTTGCCTTGCACGCAGCCAACATGGCCGACCCGAGTTCGATTCCTCAGCCCCTCTCGGAGAGCCCGGCAAGCTACCCGTGATGTATTCGATATGCCAAACACAGTAACAACAAAGTCTCCAATGGAGACGTTACTGGGCCCGTCACTGGGCCCGCTCGAGCAAATTGATGAACAACGGGAGGACAGTGACAGTGACAGATTTGTGACTTATGAGATCTAGAAAAGGTCCAGGTAAAAAATCTGCCATGTTACTGGGGCCGGAGTGGTAGTACAATGGGTAGGGCACTTGCCTTGCACATGGTCAACCTGAATTCACTCCCTGAAATCCTATATGATCCCCCAAGCCCTGCCACTAATGATCTCTGAGCACATCTGGGTGTGATCCCAGAACAAAATAAAACAAAAATTTCTGTCACTGTCACTGTCTTCCCGTTGTTCATCGCTTTGCTTGAGAAGGCCCAGTAACATCTCCGTTGTGAGACATCTTGTTACTGTGTTTGGCATATCCAATACGTCTGCATGTTACTAAATACTTGCTGCTTCCCAATTAGGCAAGAAAAAGATATTAAGGGCATTCAGATAGGAAAGGAAGAAATCAAGCTCTCACTATTCGCAGATGATATGATACTATACTTAGAGAACCCAATAACCTCCACCAAAAAACTCCTAGAAACAATAGACTCGTATAGTAAAGTTGCAGGCTATAAAATCAATACCCAAAAGTCCATGGCTTTCCTATACGCAAACAGTGAGAGAGAGGAAAGTTACATGAAAAAATCAATCCCGTTCACAATTGTGCCCCAGAAAATCAAGTACCTAGGAATCAGCTTAACTAAGGAAGTAAAGGACCTGTACAAAGAAAACTACAAAACGCTACTTCAGGAAATAAAAGAGGACATGAGGAAATGGAAAGATATCCCCTGCTCATGGGTCGGGAGACTTAACATTGTCAAAATGGCAATACTACCGAAAGCATTGTATAAATTCAATGCAATCCCTATAAGGATACCCATGACATTCTTCAAAGAAATGGAGCAAACACTCCTGAAATTTATATGGAACAATAAGCCCCCACGAATAGCTAAAGCAATTCTTGGGGAAAAGAAAATGGGAGGAATCAACCTCCCTAACCTCAAACTTTACTACAAAGCGGTAATAATCAAAACAGCATGGTACTGGAACAAAGGCAGAACTGCAGACCAATGGAACAGGGTTGAATACACTGACATCTCCCCTCAATCATATGATCATCTAATCTTTGATAAAGGTGCAAGTAATGTGAAGTGGAGTAAGGAAAGCCTCTTTAATAAATTGTGTTGGCATCACTGGACGGCTACATGCAAAAAAATGGGCTCAGAACTCTGCCTAACACCATGTACAAAAGTAAGATCAAAATGGATTAAAGACCTCAACATCAGACCAGAAACCATAAGGTACATTGAAGACAAAGTTGGCAAAACCCTCCATGACATTGAGGCTAATGGTATTTTCAAAGATGCCACGCCGCTGGCCGAGCAAGTGAAAACAGAGATAGATAAATGGGACTATCTTAAACTAAGAAGCTTCTGCACCTCCAAAGAAACAGTGACCAAAATACAAAGACAGTCTACAGAATGGGAAAGAATATTCGCCAAATACACATCTGACAAGGGGTTGATATCAGGATATACAAAATACTTGTTGAACTCCACAAGAAGAAAACATCCAACCCCATCAAAAAATGGGGCAAGGAAATGAACAGAGACTTTCTCAAAGAAGAAATCCGAATGGCAAAAAAGCACATGAGAAAATGCTCTACATCATTAATTATCAGGGAGATGCAGATCAAAACCACAATGAGATACCATCTCACACCTCAGAGACTGGCCCACATTCAAAAGAACAAAAGCAACCGTTGCTGGCGCGGATGTGGCGAGAAAGGGACACTCCTTCACTGTTGGTGGGAATGCCGACTGGTTCAGCCCTTTTGGAAAACAGTATGGACGTTCCTCAAAAAATTAGAAATTGAGCTCCCATTTGACCCAGCAATACCACTCCTGGGAATAAATCCCAGAGAGGCAAAAATGTGTAGTCGAAGTGACATTTGCACTTGTTTGTTCATTGCAGCACTCTTTACAGTAGCCAGAAACTGGAAGAAACCTGAGTGCCCAAGAACAGATGACTGGTAAAGAAACTTTGGTATATCTACACAATGGAGTACTATGTAGCTCTTAGAAAAGATGAAGTCATGAACTTTACATACAAGTGGTACAATATGGAAAGTATCATGCTAAGCGAAATGAGTCAGAAAGAGAGGGATAGACATAGAAAGATTGCATTCATCTGGGGGATATAAAATAACAAAATATGAGATTAATACCCAAGAATAGCTGAGATCAACACCAGGAGGATTACTCCATAGCTAAGAGGCCAGCCGGGTATTCTAGGGGAAAGGACAGTTCAGATAGAGAAGGGAGCACCAAATGGAGGGTGTTTGGAGGATCCTCCCAGGAGGGGAGATGCAGGTTGAAAGTAGACTGGACTGAACATGTTTGCCACTCAGTGCCTCTTTTGCTGATCACAAGACCCAAAAGGAGAGAGAAAACAAAAGTAAATGCCCTGCCACAGTGTCAGGGGGGGATGGGGGGAATGGGGGGGAGGGATATTATCCTTGGTGGTGGAAAATGGGCACTGGTGGAGGGATGGGTATTTGATCATGGTATGACCGAAATCCAAGCACAAAAATTTGTAAGTCGACAACTGTACCTCATGGTGTTTCACTAATAAAAATTTAATATAATATAAGGCCCTCCCGTTGATCGTCGATTTGCTCGAGCGGGCCCAGTAACGTCTCCATTGGAGACTTTGTTGTTACTGTGTCTGGCATATCGAATATTCTCGGTAGCTTGCCGGGCTCTCCAAGAGGGGCGGAGGAATCGAACTCGGGTCGGCCATGTTGGCCGCTTGGAAGGCGAACGCCCTACCCGCTGTGCTATCGCTCCAGCTCCATAAAAATTAAAAAAAAAATATTTGCTGCTTCCATTTCCTATAATGTTTTACCACTCTTTTCAGTAAACTAAGCATCTGATTATACTCATACCAATAGAACTTTGAGAAAACTGGTATGTGACACCCCAGAAAAGGGTTCAGAGCAAAATGCAGAAGAATGTGAACTACTGCCAAATAAATAAGCACCTGTTCCTAACTCTCCAAGTGGGAGAGATTACCAGCAGCACAGCTCATATCAGCAACCTCTACTCCTTGTTGTTTAAGAGATTCAATATTAACAGAGCATCTTTCAAAGTCTGAATTTTAAAAAGCAACAGCCACATGAAACTGTCAGCCCTTTATGCCAGAAATGATTATGAATGGTAAATGACTAGTATACTATTCCAAATCAAGATTAATGTTAGATTAAGCCTTCTTGAAGGACACAGGTTCCAACAATCACATCAAAGAACTTCCTGTCACGTAGAACACGATCTGCACAAAGGGAACCTAAGATCTGAATCTAGCAAACATGTAGGTTTTCTTTAAGATGAATATTTATAAGAGTCTCATGGAGGACTGCAGTTGTGTGTGTTTTTTATTAAAAAAAAATTAGCACTTATACACAGATACGGCTTCTACTGAAAAGCAAACAAATTTAAAATCACATTGACAATAACATATTAATGAGGGATTTACTCTTCAGTTTTTTTACAGTCCCCACCAGGCTCACTTCACTCATGTTATCCACCTTATTTCTGTGTGTGTGTGTGTGTGTGTGTGTATGTATACATATATACACACACATATATATATGTAACTTGGTAATCCCTAGCAAAGAAAATAAAACATAAAAAATGTCTTAAAGATGACAGCGTCAACAACACCAATGTAAGTTGTTTGGTAAATGTTACAAATAAAGCTGATAGCCATGCTGCAAAAAGACCACTAGAAGTACATTTATAAAGAGAAATTAAGATATTTTCTGATACTGGGAAGATAATCCACCCTGGTGATACACTGGGTTTTTGTATTTTAAAAAGAGTCTTTTGGAGGGTGGGGAAGAAATTGACACTGCTGTTGGGATTGAAATATTATGTGTCTAAATTGTCAAAATATTTAAATCACAGTTCTTTATTTAAAAAAAAGTCTTGTTTTGTTTTGGGGGCCACATCTAGCGGTACTCAGGACTTACTCCTGGTTTTATTCTCAGGGATCACTCCTGATGGGTTGATCTCTGAGCATATCCCACTCCAAATGTGATGTCAGGAATCAAACCCAAAGTAGGTAAGGCAAGTGCCCTACCTACTATATTATTGTTCTAGCCCCTACTGGGCTAGTGTTTAGAAAGCAAAATAGAATTTACCAATGATCAGGCTTTGGGGATAGCATGCAAAAAAAGGCATGGAAAGTCAGGAAAATATTACAAAGAGAGAGAAAAATGAAAATATTATATAGATTATACACCAGAATTATAGATCAAAGTAAGACAGTTTAACTGGAGACGTAGTACAACATGTAAAGAGCTTGCCTTGCATGTGGCCAACCTGAATTTGATTTTTTGCACCCTTGGCATAGTCAGGAGTGATCCATGAACACAAAACCAGAAGTAAGCCCTGAGTATAGCCAGGTGGAACCCCAAAACCAAAAAACTAAAAAATAAGACAGCTAGGATGCCAATATAACTTCAGTAGTGAGCGTGACTCAAAGTACTGATTCTTCAATCCAAGGGAAAATTCCAAAATTTTTCCCTCTGGTTTTATTCCATTCCTAGTCCTCTTTTTTTTTTTTTTTTTTGGTAAAACAATTAAGGACCTGAACCACTGAGTGGTTAAGAGCTCCGACCTGCTCAGTAACAGTGGCTTTGACCAACTAGCTATTGGGCCTAAGCTGATGGGCCACCTGCCAACTTCACTATCAGAACAATCTGATTCTTGAGTCCAACCAGACTGTGACAACTCAATACTGATTTATGCAAGATGGCACTGAGTCCAAGAAGCTGTTCACTGAGCACACTATGTTCTATATAGACAACAAACTGAAGTTAAGTCAGCTGTTCTCATAGTCAATTGTGAGGACAGAACACCAGAGTGAGAATCACTGTATCAGTGTCATCCCGTTGTTCATCAATTTCCTCAAGCAGACACCAGTGTGCCAATATTGAATCATAAAAAAAAAACCTAAACAATTCAGGATTTCATGTGCATATGCAGAAGTCAGAGGAGCTTGGACACTATCAGGAATAGGTTGATAACAACCTAAAATCAAATATCAAGTATTTTAGAACAAGCATGCCATAAAAAAATTAATCCCATAGGTAAAAGGTAAAGGTAAAGGCCCTCCCGTTGATCGTCGATTTGCTCGAGCGGGCCCAGTAACGTCTCCATTGGAGACTTTGTTGTTACTGTGTCTGGCATATCGACTACTCTCGGTAGCTTGCCGGGCTCTCCAAGAGGGGCGGAGGAATCGAACTCGGGTCGGCCATGTTGGCCGCTTGTAAGGCGAACGCCCTACCCGCTGTGCTATCGCTCCAGCCCTAAATTAACTATATGAAGCTGGAGCAATAGTACACTGGTAGGGCATTTTCCTTAAATGTGGCTGATCTGAGTTAGATCCCTGGCACCCCATATGGTTTCCCAAGCCCACCAGAAGTGATCCCTGAGCACAGAGCCAGGAATAAACCCTGAGTACTGCTGGATATGGGCCAAAGTAAAAACAAAACAACATCAATAATGACAAAACCCACATTAACTACCTCAACTCCCAGCATGGATTGAATGGTTCTGATATAGGTCTCTGTTCGGTCATCCTTTAGTTCAACCCAGGCTGGTGGACTCATGCGCATGCCAATGGGGCCAGCTATCTTCTCTAACATGTTAACAAGCTCTCGGGCCTGATCCATTGCTCTCTTTGGATAAAACAATGCCCAAAAATGCATGGGGACCTAGGAATAATGACAAAGCATTGTTAGTAGTTCCACAACTTCAAATTCAACCAGACTTTATTCTTATCTGATCTAATACCTAGTAATTACATATGTAAGTTTTGTTATAGTCTCAAAGTAGAATACTATATACCAATGAGAATGGAATGACTATCCACAGCCATATATTTTTTTTCACAGCCATATTTAACAACATGGATGAAACTCACCAAAACAAGATTGAAGAAATGAAGACTTAGGAAAGGAAAATAAATACATCTATGAAAGTATTTGTACTTCATGGTTCTATGCATATATGCTCTGATTGTCAAGACAGTAGCTATTTGGGTGGAAGTATGAGGACATAAGTAGTAACTAGTAGGATGGAGGGGGCCCTCTGGGGTGCTGATAGTATCTTTTTAATCCTTGGTGTTGATTACATAAGAATCCGTGAGAAAACATCAAGTTGTATTAAATATACTTTTTCTTTATATTGTATTCCAATGAGAAGTTTTAGAAATGGATGTATGCACATAAAGATTATGGAAAGAGCTCAGGTGACAGGTATCCACACCTTGTATGCACAAAAATCAAAGTCTGATACAGAGTTCTGAATGGCAGCCCCCAGCACCACTAGGAGTGGCCCTGGGAGACCCTCAGCCACATAGCATTATCAGGCTCTAGCACTGAAATATCTGGCCCAGTTGGTCAGGGATCACCAGAGAGGCTCCAGGATCCCTGAGCATCGCTTGGGAGTGTACTCACAAAAAAACATCATGTACCATTCTATTCTTTTATTGTAAAAAAACTTTAGTTTGACTTCTTTATGAATAAAACATGTTCCAAAAACTACCAGAAATAAAAAAAAGATAGGGAAAGCTAGAGGAAGGAAGAGGAAAGAAAGAGTAACAGGCTGATACTACACATATTCCCGTAGCAATTTATTTTTCTTTCCCAAAGTCTGTCAAAAGGCTTACTCATCGACTTATTTTTTAAGGACCGTGTATTAGTAACAATTTAGAATGAAAATTTAATTGGTAAACTGTCTAAAAAAGTATACAAAATCATTTCTGGTTCCTAATTTCCACAATTTTAGGAGTACTGAGACTATCTTTACCACTCATGAATCACTTACCGTCAAGATAGAAAGTTCTCTGGTTACTTCCTTAACCCAATTTAGTTCCTGAGATGTGATAAATGAAGTATTTCGTAAATTAATTCTTTCCATTGGCAGAACACGTCCTTCAATCTAAACACAAAATAAAGCACCTATGAAATGAGCCATTTACAAATACCACCAGAAAAATATGGAGTGGGTTTAGTTCAGTTAATAGAGCATGAATGACAGAAAGAACTATGAGGTACAAGTGACTGTCAATAAAAGCCTGGACACGTAAAGGCTAAATTTTTACAGGTACCACTCTTTAATTATGGACACTTCCAACATGGCATACCAAGAAAGTGACTAGAAAACCAGTCTTAAAACCAGTGCAGGTCTTTAAAACAACAAACATCAAAATGACCAAGAAATCAGTCTTATAAATTATTTTTAAGGGAAAAATTAAAAGAAAATTAAAAGGTGCTCAGACCCCAACAGCTGCTTCCATGCCTCCAGCCTGACTTCACCACCTCAAAACTATGCTCCACAGAGATGCTAACCTGCTGAAAAATTCAGGTACAATGGTTTTTTTTGGTTTGTTTATGGCTAAAAACTCTGGTTCTTCTTAAGAGTTTGTATGGGAACCTCCCCCCACCTTCCCATACTTCCAGAAGCCCCTACAAACACACCCATGACCCACCACAAACATCCAAGTTCATCTACTATTATACTCATAAATAAATAAATCTCAAAGGAGACCAACTAGTTGCAAAAACTCCTCAAACCAGCTGATTTTAGGAGGGGAGCAGGCCAAGTTCCCACCCTACCAAAGCCCAGGTAGCCACATTCAAATAACTGCCACTATTCCTCCAGCTGGACTGCCCAATTAAATATTCTGAATTTTCTGGAGCGACATCTCCAAACTCTACAATACTAACTTTCCAGCAGGAGCACACCAGACTGGATGGGAATGTATCCGACAATATAAAATAAATTATTGTGGGCAGCTATGGAGGCAGACTTGAGGGGGCGATTGGGAAAACGAAGACAGTAATGAAGGAAAGATGACAGTGGTAGTGGGGTTGATGTTAGAATATCAAATGCCTGTAACAAATCAACATAAACTACTTTGTAAACCAGTGTTTAAGTACTATGAGAAAAAATTAAAAACTGAAGGTAAGTTTTTGTTGTTGTTTGGTCCACACCCAGCAGTGTCGAGAGCTTATTCCTGGCTCTGTGCTCAAGGATCACTCCTGGAGGGGATCAGGGGTCATAAGTAGTCATAGGCCTTGAACCCAATTCAGCCACACGCAAAGGCAAGCACCCTACCTACTGTACTAAATCTCCAGTACAGAGGTTAAGGTGCTTTTTTTGAAAGAAGTCAATCCCAGCCTGATCTTCAGCACCACATATGGTCTCTCAAGAACCTCCTTGAGTGACCTCTGACAACAGAACCGAAAGTAAGCCTGAAGCACCACTGTCGTAGTCCAAGAAATAAAGGGGGAAAATATGGACAGGATAGGAAAGAGAAAAAAAAAACCCAGAAAAATATAAACTAAAAAAATGTAAAATGTAATTTATTAAGCACTTACAGTGTGTCAATTATTATGTTAAAATTGTTATCATCTTCAAAAATCTGTAAGTCTACAACTATACCTCATGATGTCTCACTAATAAAAATTAAAAAATAAAATAAAATAAAATTTTATCATCTGGGGTCAGAGAGTTTAAGGAACAGAGCTCAAAACACACACATGCACGCGTGTGCGCGCACACACACACACACACACACTTGATAATAAAATCAAACTTGCAAATCAAGATAGGAAGTTATAACTTAGTATCACAAAGCTCTAAAATCTTTGGGATAAAGCTATTTCCTTCCCTCTCACAGCCTCTGGTTTACCTTATGTACATCTTTCTGCAGACAGAGTCCCCAACGTGTCAGTTCATTGGTTGCCATTTCATTCTTTGAAATTCTCTGGAGTAAGCATTCCAGAGCACTGTGGTGCTGTCGAGGACTTAGGTTGATCTGCTGGGTCAAATCCTACGCAGAATTAAGATGCAGATAAATTTTAAGTACTACTTACTCTACCATGAGGTTAAATAAACCCCAATGTGTCTAAAACATTTCCCTAAGAAATGTGCTTCCCGTTAACATCTATATTGATTTTCAAATATCTCCAAGGATTTTAATAAATGCCTCTCAGAGACAGTGTATGGAGTGTAATATTAAATTTTTAATAATAATATTAAATGCATCATTTGACTTCACAGTGAAAAAACATTATCGGGGCTGGAGCGATAGCCCAACAGGTAGGGCATTTGCCTTGCACACAGCCGACCCAGGTTCGATTCCCAGCATCCCATAGGGTCCCCTGAGCACTGGCATGAGTAATTTCTGAGTGCAGAGCCAGAAGAAACCCCTGTGCATCGCTGGGTATGACCCAAAAAAGAAAAAAAAAGTGATGTGTAATAGATTTTGTTTCTTTGCTGTATTATTTTTCAGTGGCAGAGTCTCCTGGCCCCCTGCCTGGCTGTTCTCACCAGGGCCCCTTGGAGGGGGGTGGGCTGAGTTTCCCTCCCACCCCGCCCCCACCCCCCCCGAGCAGAGCCCCAACAGCCGAAGACCTCCAGAACCAGCCACAGCCATGCTGAGACCATTCCCCATACGTCCGGACAAGCTTCATGCATGAAGGAACCGGCAGAGGAACCCAGGCATGCGGGTCCCGGGGCTGAGATCTCCAAGCCTGCTCGGATCGGGACTAGACCTTCTTCACCCGGATCCCCCATCTTCCAGTAGGTAGGCGTCACACCCACCAGCTGCCGCCAAGATACAGAGACTATAAAACCCAGCTCCTGACATCTTATTATCTCATTTTTCCTTTGGAGAATCCGGCAGGCTACCGAAAGTATCCTGCCTGCACAGCAGAGTCTGGCAAACTTCCCGTGTTGTACTCGATATGCCAAATACCAGTAACAATGATGGGTCTCATTCTCCTAACCCTGAAAGAGCATTGAATATGGCTCTTTTAAAATCTCAGGGCTGGGAAGAAGGAGATATTACTGGTGCCTGCTCGAGGCAATCGACAAACAACAGGATGATCGTGATCGTGAATATTAGATACTATTATTAGTGAGCTGGAGCGATAGCACAGCAGGTACAGCATTTGCCTTGCATGAAGCCGACCCTGGTTCTACTGCTCCGCCCCTCTGAGAGCCCGGCAAGCTGCCGAGAGTATCCCACCCACACGGCAAAGCCTGGCAAGCTACCCGTGACATATTCAATATGCCAAAAACAGTAACAACAAGTCTCACAATGGTGACGTTACTGGTGCCTGCTCAACCAAATTGATGAACAATGGGAGGACAGTACTACAATGCTACTATTATTAGTATTAATATCCAAGACCAGGGAAAACGGGCCAGGAAGACTGGCTAATGGCTGTATGCTTGCCATAAGTGTGTGGGGATGCCAACGGCAATTAGGATAGAGAAGCGACCAGTATAACAATAATAGTTGGAAATAATCTCTTTCGATAAAAACTGAGTGTTGAAAGTAGGTAAAGGAATATGCCTGATAACCTTTCAATATCTATATTGCCCAAAAGGAAAGAGCAAGGGGGTGCGGGGGGGGGGGAGCAGGAGTAGGGAGAGGAGGAGGAGGAAGAGTAGGAGGAGGAGAAAGCGGAAGAGGAGGAAGAGGAGGAGGAGGAAGAGAAGGAGGAGGGGAAGGAAGAGAAGTGCCTGCCATAGAGGCAGGGGAGGGGGGCAGGAGGGAAAAAAATGGGGACATTGTTGTGGTGGGAAATGTACACTGGTGAAGGGAAGGGATGGATGTTGGAATGACTGAAAGCCAATCATGAACAACTTTGTAACTTTGTATCTCACTGTGATTTATTTTTTAAAAAATTAATCAATTAAAAAAAGTAGTATCCATGTAGGAAGGAGCCTGTACGAAGGGCTGGAAGTCAGCCTAATCAATGGCTGAATAAACAGCAATACACCTATGTTTAAAAAAAAAAGGGCTGGAAGTAGTATCAGGGTAAAGAACCCAGCATTTAGACATTTAGAGATGAAATTATGAAATGTTAACATGAACAGTTTAGTATATATTTGTGAGAATATAAAGATAAAATGCCTATAATAAAAACAAACAGTAATTAAGTGATCTAGCAAATAAAAATAATGAAATGACTTTAAATATTATTTTTATTTCATAACATCTAAATATTTTCTCTTTATCAAAGCAAGTTCTGAATTAAAAGTTCAAAATATACTGTAAGAAACACAATCAAAGGAACATGGTTACATCTAATTAATATTTGGGGGAAATGGTGGGAAGGAGCCGAATGCACAATGTCAGGTACTTTAACAAACAGAGCAGAATAGAAAACTACATCCAATCTTATAATTTGTATTAGTCTAGTTATTTAATGTCACTATAAGACACGTTTTTTGGTCTGGTACTGTCTATTATCAGTATTCTATAAATATTTATTGAATTGGTATCTAACAGTTTCTAAATCTCATTGATTTCTTCATTTATTCTTCTGAGACTAATTACATAGCTGCTATTTCCTGCAAGGTATTCTGGGTCAGGAAGTCTATGGAGCTATATATATAGCTGTGTGATCATAAAAGTTATTATGCAATTAGGAGCTGTAAGGAAGGAGTCTGACCTACATATTAAAAGCAGAGGTAACAGAGGCTAGAAAGATAGCTCAATGGACCCAGAGTCCATGTCTGGTATGCACAGGGCCCCAGGTTCATTCCCAGAACCACATGACCTCAAGAAACCACTGGATGTAACCCAGGAGATACTTCTGGGGAGGCCTCCAAGAAAAAACAAAATGATAATACTAATAAAAGCAGAGATATAAAAAGAGAAACGTGAATCGCTAACAGGAGTTTTAGGCTTCACTTCAAGCTCCATGTTACTAAAAATAATGTATATATCTCAGACGCCTGGGTCAAAAGATAGGACAAGGGGACTGAGAGACAGTACAGCAAGTAAAGCACTTGCTGTGTATACATCTGGTTCTATCCCAGGTTCTATCCCTGGCACCACATATGGTCCCATGAATACCATAAAGAGTGATTCCTAAGCTCAGAGCCAGGAGTAAACCCTGAGCACAGATGGATGTGAACCAAAAAAAAAAAAAATATATATATATATATATATATAGACAGGTATGAGATATGCAGTACAGGTATTGAGGTGTCTGCCTTACAAGTGGTCAACCCTGACTGGATCACTGGCATTGCAAATGTCCTTGGTGATCCCTGAACACAGAGTCAGGAGAAATCCCCAGCATCACATCTGGTCCTTGGTCCTTATGGTCCCTGAACACAGAACCAGGGGTAATCCATGAATACCACCAGGTAATGGCAAAACAAAAGCAACAACAACAGAAAATCCATTTTGGGGGCAGAGCTATCATACAGGGTGTTAAAGGGCTTGCCTTGTATGCAACTGACCCTGCACCATACATGGTCCTGCCAGAAGTAATCCCTGAGCATAGAGCTAGGAGTAAGCCCTGAGCACTGCCAGGCATGATCCAAAACAATTAAAAACAAAACAAAACAGGTAAAAAACAAGGACTGAGAAAGCAAGGGAAAGATAGCATGGAGGTAAATTCCTCAGGGTTGGAACCGACACTGCACACACCTCTGCATCTGAGCTATTTCCTATAGGAATTAAGCAAAACATAAGAACACTACAAACTCAACAAAGTTAACTACCCTTTGATCTACTGATTTTTTCCTCTACATTATATTCTCTACCTCTTCAAAGGTATATTGAAGGCTAACAGAAACTTTTTAAAAAATTCATATTTCCATGTAACTTCATTTATGATCACATGATTACTTTTTAATTATCCTCTAGTTGATGAAGGTAAAGACAGAATTATTTCCTTTTACCATATAATCCAATCATTCTACTATTCTAATCCAATCATTCTACTATTCTAATAACCTTCAAAAGGAAGCTCTGAATGACTTTTTTCAGTGAATGGAAAAGGATAGGGATTATGTTTTAAAGAGAACTGGAAGGACCAGAGCGATAGCACAGCGGGTAGGGTGTTTGCCTTGCATGCGGCCAACCCAGGTTCGATTCCCAGCATCCCATATGGTCCCACGAGCACCGTCAGGAGTAATTCCTGAGTGCAAAAGCCAGCAGTAACCCCTGAACATTGCTGGGTGTGACCAAAAAAAAAAAAAAAGAGGAGAACTGGAGCTTGCAGGAATGACCTGCCCAGTAATCAGGCTAGTTTTAACTTAGTCTGCTATTCTCCCAAGCAAATTAGGCATTCTACCTTCATGGCTCTGAAGTCCTTCTTCATCTTTTCAGGAATTCCAGTCATGAAGGAAAGCTCAGGTAGCAGTAAGATTTCACCTTTAAGCAACTAGAAAAGTGAATTCAGAGGGAAAATAAGATAGTAAAAGAAAATCTTGTTCCCTGACTTGTACAATATCTACCACCCCCAGGTTAATTCTGCAGGGATATAACTGAAACACAAAACTCTGAGAAGAACAGTTAAATACTGTAGAAATATTTACCCCTTTTCTCAGTCTGTTATATAAGGTAACGGGGAAATATACTGTCAAAAAAATCAGAAAATAAAAATTTCTGTTCCTCTGAGCATTCCTACAAACTAAAATAATAGTCTAAATACAATACACTAAACAAAAACCCGATAATAAAATCTATAATAATACAATAACAAGCTGATGCCGTCAACTTGCTAGCTTTTTGATATTTATATTTAAGACAAAAGAGTCCAGAGTCAAGATGTTCCTCTGGTTGCTAGTCTGCTAAAATACCTTTAACTTCCCAAACAAACCCAGTATTTATTTATCAGGAGCAAATTCTTACTCCCTAAACTAACTCAGTCATCATATTTAGCTCCTCATTATGGGGACCTGAAAGTGTGAAGAGGCATGTCTCACTAGAAAAGACAAAACTCTGCATACCTTTTCACCAACCATGCCGTAATAATTTCTCTACAGCTCCCAGAGCCATAAAAAAAGGAAAGTGGCTGGTAAGATGGAGAACTTAAGTTCCAGTGTAAATTAAACACCTTCTTCCCGCCCCATGCCCCTTCTCCCACCACACTCACCATCCCTTGGTTATTCTGTCTTTCACTTGGCCTATGGATCAGAAGTGGTTGGTCCTCTTCCTTAATTGTGATCCCATAGTTTTTGCTAGAATACAGCATAGGCAGGAAAAGATTTCAGAAGCAGCATCACTACTCTACTAGCAATAAATCCTAACTCTTAACAAGGTATGATGTAAATAATTTATATCTGTATAACTATAAATGAATATTTGGGTAAGGAAACATTGGAAATTCAACACAGTTTATTTGTAAGAATAATTAAGCTTGGGGCTGGAGAAATAGCATAGCGGGTAGGGCATTTGCCTTGCACGTGGCCAACCCAGGTTCGATTCCCAGCATCTCATATGCTCCCCTGAGCACCGCCAGAAGTAACCCCTGTGCATCGCCAGGTGTGACCCAAAAAGCAAAAAAAAAAAAGAATAATTAAGCTTAAGTTCCGTTTATTATTTGCAATTGAGAATAGGCTAAAGGCTAACAGCCCAGAAAAGAGTTTGTTAGAAGTTAGAAGGCACGTGGTAAGTTAACAATTAATGACTTAAATTTACTCTTCTCAGACTTGTAACAAAATCAGCAGAATGTAAGTCAAAGACATTAGATTAATTTTAGAAATTTACAAAAGTACTGAAAGAAATAAAACTATTTCTCCCCCAAAATATTCTTCACTAAATGAGTTCTTTAACTTTAAACACATCACCATTCTAATTATTTTTAAAGTGTCACTTTGTAAATACACTACTGTGGAACTCTGTAAGTATTCTGCAAGAGAATGAGAGACTAGGCTCCACCTGTAAATCCAAGTCCAATCTCTTTCTTTTACCTGTAGTATTCCAAGAATGTGATCTCCTTCCCATCAGACATTGTGAAACTATCTTTTGGAGTCTTATTCCAATCCACATCATCAATACGATAAGTACGATTGTTGTATCGGGTTATAACAATATTGCCAACCAGAAGTTTAGTGCATTCATCCTGGAAGCTTTCTTTGCTCTGCTGATACATGGCATGCCTTTGGAAAGAGACAGAAGACTTTTGGATCTCATTCAGGGACAAAGACCAATATAAAAGGAATATGGGACACAAATCCTGGAGGTGGAAAGGAGTATTTTCATCAGACAGTTTCAACTCTCTCTTATTAGAACTTCAAATCTCTTTTCCTTTTAACATTAGTAAACTGGCAATAAAAAAAGAATAAAAAGATTTTAAAAAACAAGTTAATAACATCAATTATACATTCACAAATGTATAATTTAGTGTTCTACGAAGGAGATTATCTATCATTGAAATTATGTATAATCAGGGGTCAGAGCCATAGTACAGAGGGTAAGGCACTCGCTTTGCACACTTAACAACCCAGATTTGATTCCTGGCAATCTATATTGTTCCCTGAGCACCACTAGAATTCCCGAGTTCAGAGCTAAGAATGAGCCCTGAACATCGGCAGGTGTGGCAAAAAAAAAAAAAAATGAAGAAATTACATATAATCATTATAGCACTGTAGCACTGTCCTCCCGTTGTTCATCAATTTGTTCAAGCAGGCCCAGTAACATCTCCATTGTGAGACTTGTTGTTACTGTATTTAGCATATTGAATATGTCACGGGTAGCTTGCCAGGCTTTGCCGTGCGGGCAAGATACTCTCGGTAGCTTGCCGAGTTCTCTGAGAGGGGCGGAAGAATCGAACCCAGCTTGGCCAGGCCAGCTGCTCGCAAGTCAAACACCCTACCGCTGTGCTATCGCTCCAGACCATAATCATTATAAGGGACAATAAAACATTTTAACATTAACTACATTTGCCTTTTCCTGACTGAAGGAAGAATTAGTATACATTAGCTTGAATCTTTTCCTGTGGGTCAGTGTTGCCCAGGAACACTGATATGCCCAGGGTATATTCCTAGGAACACTGAAGGTAGTACCTTTCCAGGCAATTAGCATCCCGCAGAATTTCCCTTAAGAAAGACTACATGGGCCAGAAAGACAGTACAGCAAGTAAAGTAGTAAAGTTCTTGCCTTGCAAGTGGCCAATCCAAGGTTGAGGTTTGACTCCCTGCACTCCATATGGTCCTGAGTGCAGAGCCAGAAGTAAGCCCTGAGCACAGCTGGGTGTGGCCCAAAAACAAACAAGCAAACAAAAAAGAAGAAGAAAAGAAGAAAAAAGAAAGAACTGAGATTGCTAGAAGTAGAGGGCACAGTGGATATAAATTTGGAAAGATTGATCTAATAGACATTGAATCAGGGATTTGGGCACTTTTGTGATGGCTGTGGTATGACAACTTACTCTTTAAGAACTATGTATGAAAAAAACATTTTGAAACATATACAATAAACCTTAACTCAGTTCCTTAGAAGGACTCCTAAGCAAATTTAGCTTACTCAGCTTCTTTGTCCCTCAACTTTCTCATGTGGAAGTGGAATCAGTAATAGCAGTACTTCTTAAACTTTTTCCATTCATGACCCCTCCCTTTTTTTGCCCAAGAAATGCAAAACAGACAAGCAATGCCAGAGCACTTCATAACTTCATATTCTATGGTTTGAATTGGAATTAATTTTTTGTCACTGTGTGTTCAGAAACTTTTTATTGCTGCCAATGTTTTTTATAACCCCTACATCAAATTACACAACTGCTTAGGAGATCATAACCTACAGTTTAAGAAATTAGACATAAAAGCACTAATGGTATGGGTGAAAGAACACAGGAAGGCATGTGAAAACACAGGTAAGAGACAGAACTATGTTTGTGAATATTATCACCATAATCATCACAGGGTTTACTATATAACAGATGTAGGGACTGGGGATGTGGCTCAGTGATAAGAGCTAATGCCTTGCCAAGTGTAAGGTCCTGAGTTCAATTTCTGGTGCTGTCCCACATTACTGAGTGCAATCCCTGGCACTAACAACAAAATATTCAATATCCAGATGTAAGTGTGTTATGTTGTTAAGAAAATTACTAGAACTGGTATAACAAGGTCCACATAAATGTTTCACTGTATTCTGCTTAGTTTAAACAAAGTTTAAAAAGATAGGTCAGTGCATATATAATGTTATATATAAATTACATTTACATGAATATACATGTAAATAATTATTAAGCATAAAGCAACCATTACTATAGAATTCAAATTTAACAATTCTTTCTCATGAAATTTTCAGAAAATTCATGGCAATATCAATTTTATCTCTAAACACTTTCCTCCAATCTTTTGCATTAGACACAGAGAGTATAAAATAACATAGTATGAGACTGACACCTAAGGACAGTAGAGACAGGGCCAGGAATATTGCTCCATGGTTGGTAGCCTGCCTCATAAGCTGGGGGAGAAGGCAGTTCGAATAGAGAAGGGATCACTAAGTCAGTGATGGTTGGAGGGATCATTCAGGATGGGAAATGTATGCTGAAAATAGATAAAGGAACAAATGTGATACCTCTCAGTATCTGTATTGCAAACCATAATGCCCAAAAGTAGAGAGAGAGTATGGGGGAAACTGCCACAGAGGCAGGGGGAAAGGTGGGAAGGAGGGAGGGCAGGAGATACTAGGGACACTGGTGGTAGAAAATGTTCACAGGTAGAGGGATGGGTGTTCGATCATTGTATGACTGAAACTCAAACATGAAAGCTTTGTAACTGTATCTCACGGTGATTTCATTTAAAAGGGGGGGGGCATAAAGATAGTACAGAGGATAAGAAACTTGCATGCAGCCAACCTGGGTTCAATTCCCTGCACAGTTCCCCTTAGTATTGTCAGGAGTGATCTCTAAGCACAGAACCAGGAGTAAGTCCTACCAAAATGGGAATTGTCCCAAGCTATCCCCCTCAAAAAAAAAATAGCAAGACACTGAGAATATCAGGAAATTAAAAATATAGGGCCATATCTTGTTATTTCAATATTAAAGTATTGGTCAAGAAATCATCAATTATTTTTAGTATGAGGGACTGAATCTAAGGCCTGATACATGTGAAGTATGTGCACTTTTGGCAAACTAATTGCTTAAATATAGTACATGGTTTTTTTCTTTCTCTTTTTCTTTCTCTTTCCTTCTTGTGGTGCTGGGGTAGAGTGCAGGATCTACACATACAGGGAAAATGCTCTACAAGTGAGCTATATCCCTGACCCATCATATTATTTTTTCATTTAAACAATGCCAAAATGCAAAACAGCCAAATACCAATAATTTTTTCTGGATGATGGGATGGGATTATAAGTAACCTATTTCAGTCTTTGGATTTCTTTGTATTTCTGTATTTTTAAACATTTCTATACACGTTAACTTTTAAAATAAAATTTTTAAATCACTGGGATGTATTACAAATGGATACAGTGTTTGTTTAGACTGATGAAAAATTTCCAGCAATGGGATAGTGGTTATTGCACACTATAAACAATTAGCCTAGTTTCATTGATTTATATACATAAAAAGTTACAATGGTAAAATTTATGGTATACAAGGCATAATTTTAAATAAACAAAATATTCTAATGTATACTTTGAAAAATATTAATAGGCATTATTGATAAATGACCAAAAAAAGAACTATAACTTGTCAAAACTTTTTATTTATCTAATCTATATTTCATTAGGCTTCCCAAGAAATGTACCAGGTGTCTAAGGACCACTACAGGCAATGGGGCCATAAGGCTCAATATGAAGGTCCAGATATGCAATGCTGTTTAGATGCTGGTGGTCACCATGGTCCACACTTGGAGACGGGAGGCTTCCATGCAGTTCCACAATTGAACTCAGGGCCTCATGCATGGAATACAGGTCTTCTAATCCTATCAGAGCTATGGCAACCAAGCTATTGCCCTATGCAATATAAATTAGTCAGACACTACAATTAATCTAGTGTCTTGTCAATAATATAAAGTAGGAATTTATAACACCTAGTATTTACTACAGAATACCTTAGACAAAAGATTAAACACCACCGAGAAATACATGTTTAATACAAAAAGATAAGATTTTTGTTTCATATTATTTTTTATTTCCTGTTGACAGAATTTTAATCATGGCACATTTTGCTTCTGTTTAACTCATACTCTGTAGGGGCCAGATAGAGTACAAGTGAGTAAGGCACTTGCCTTGCACAAGGCCAATCTGGATTCAAATCCTGAGCCCAGAAATAATCATAAATGATCTGAGTACAGACAGAGCCAGGAATAAACCCTGTGCTCTGCTGGGTGTGGTCCAATAACAAAACAAACAAAAAAAAAACCTCACCACTATATATAAAATGTATGGAACATTATAGAGAAATACTATTTTTCAATCATACCTTTCAACTATTTCTCTAAATGGCATCTTAGCATAACTCATCTACTAATTTTTGAGTAATAGCTCTACTGTTTCTCTTTCACAAATAATTCTGGATGAAATCTTTTCTAGATTCTTCTATATTTACCACTCTAAGACAGATTTCCCACAAGCAAGGAAAAGACCTTGGGCCTAGGGACGTGACTCAGTAGCAGTGTCTGCCTTGTATGTGTGAGAGCACAAATTTGATCCCCAGAACAGCGCCATACTGTCAACTCTGAGATAAGTACAACCTTAAGACACCACAACCAAGCTGTGCAACCTTCAATATGACAAGAGTGGGAAGAGGGGAAATTAAAAGTTAGAACATCAAGATTAAGGTAATAATAGGACCTAGTAACATAATTTTTTAATTCTTTGAAATTATAAAATTAAAAAATTTACAAAATCTTTATGACTATCCTCTTTGTTGTTGTTTTTCCTTTGGGGACCACACACAACAGCACTCAGGGCTTAACCCTGGCTCTAGATTCTTTTATACCAGGGATCACTGGTGGTGGGGCTTGGGAGACCATATGCAGTGCTGGACTCAAAACCCAAATTAGCTATGTGCAAGTATCTTATCCTGCCTACTATACTATCTCTCCGGTTCTACACATAAATTCTTATATGAAATTGATATTCGTACAATAGTGTTAAATTTACTAGACTATATATAGACCTCACTCAGTATGAGAAATTTTTGCATATATTTTGT